AATAATAATAAAAAAAATAATTTCAACCTTTTCCCTTTGTTCCTTCAGCCCTAGGGGTGGTAGCTGTTCCTACAATTAGGACTTCCATATCTTCAATTTCTCTTTTTACCTCCTCAGTTATGTAATTAATAATCCATTATATTAAATTCTTCAAATAACATGTGGTTTCTGCCTCCTTACAAGACTTTGACTGATATATAAGGATATAAGATTTACTCTTCTATGTCTGTTTTTTCCCATTACCCTCAGTCATAATTATTCCTCCAGTTAATTCTTAAGGCCTATAAGTTTTTGTGTTCATAATCATATGTGAAATCACACCCATATGTCCACAATTACACTGAAGCTCCTTCACTTCCCTTTTGTACTTTATTTTTCTCAATAGCACTTATCACCTGAAATACCATATATTTGATTTATTCGTTCATTTCCCACCATTATTATATCCCTAGAGCCTAGAATAATATCTAAGACTATCGATGGTGTGCTGATAAACTTGCTTTAAAAAAAAAAAGAGGTCTGATATGTAGTGTTTGCCAATATCCATAGTATAACCACTCCCACTATGGTCTATTTGAAAATACTAACTAAATATTTAATAACCAGCTCTTGCAAGCCAGTACAAGCTGGCTCCAGCACCCCACTCTATGTGACATTGAGTGAGTTATTTAACCTGTCTTCAGTCTCAGTTTTCTCATCTGTGAAATATCTGTGAGATAATAATAGAACTAAATTTATAAAATTGTGGCAAAGTTAAATGAGTTAATACAACTAAAGCACATAAGTCAGTGGCTGACACATAGTGTTAATTTTATTTTTATTTATATACTTACCAAGTATACTTTTCTCCACATCTCACCAACATTGCTTTGTCATTTCCAATAACTTTTACAATATTTTCCAATGTTTGTGCTGATTGAAACAGGTCTATCAAGTTCTGTAGCATTCTTTAATCAATCAACACAATACCTAGTTTGCTGGTGGTCATGATTTGCTGATAACCAACAGGTATAAAATTTTGACAAACATTTCTCAAGATGTTGACTGATTATTGTATTTCCCCGTTTTCGTCATCTATTCACTGATTTTGACCACTTGGTCGTTGGAGATTCTGTTATAATTCAGTGCAACAGAGGGTTTGGGGAACACAGAGTAGTCCAGGGAGCCTTTTTATCTGTCTTACCCCACTTTCTTTTTTTTTTAATAAAGTTTATTGGGGTGACAATTGTTAGTAGAATTGCATATGTTTCAGGTGTACAATTCTGTAATACATCATCTATATATCACATTGTGTGTTCACCACCCAGAGTCAGTTCTCCTTTCATTGCCATATATTTGATCCCTTTTACCCTCATCTACCGCCCCCTTCTCCCCCTCTCCTCTGGTAACCATTAAACTATTGTCTGTGTCTATGAGTTTTTGTTTCTTCATTTGTTTGTCTTGTTCCTTTGTTGTTTTCAGTTTTATATACCACATATTAGTGAAATCATACAGTTCTTGACTTTTTCTGTCTGACTTATTTTACTTAGCATGATAATCTCAAGATCCATCCATGTTGTCACAAATGGCACTATTTCATCTTTTCTGATGGCAGAATAATATTCCATTGTGTATATATGTACCACAATTTCTTTTTTTTTTNAAAAAAAAAAAAAAGAACAATGCTACCATATGACAAAATGTTGCTTGAACCAAGATGGTAGATTAGACAGATTAAAGTCTTACGTTTATTTAAGAGGAAAATAAAACATTTAAGAACGTATTTGGATCAAATATCAAAAACCAGTCAATTTGGTTAAGACTGGAAATTAAACACTTTTACTAAGGAAAGAGAGCAAAACAATAAAACTCATGATTGTTCTAACTACTTTTCCACACGAGGCCATTTCAGTAACTCAAATTTACTAATTCCAAAGGTCAATGAAATCTATTTTAAAATTTCTGTAACTACCATTAAAACTTTTCATTATAAAAGGGAAATAAGATTACACGTAGTATTGCACATTTAAATGGCTAATTAGTACGCCACTCTGTTAATATAAAATTAAAATGAAAGCTATTGAAAATTTAGAAGTACACACTGATTTAACAGTACTAGTACTACAAAAGGAAACAAGACTTAATGGTCCAAATGACTCAATATCACTAAATTTAGCTATAGGATAAAAGCTAAAAGCTCTAAAGAAAGAAATACGGACAACAGCTACCTCACGGGGCTCTTGTCTTTTCTGAATGGACTTTTGCTTCGGGAGCGTCGTCTGCTGCAAAGTTAAAAAGTTTCAGAAGTTACCGAAACAAGTACAACATATTAGTTCCTTGAAAAACAATTTAAACAATTCAGAAGTATGTTTAAAAACCTTAATTTGATGCTATGAGGCAACCCAATCTTTCCTCGGATGGCACTGTTAAATTTTGGTCCGGAGCTAAAAAGGAAACACAAAATTACACTAGTTACAGGTTTAGGGTCTTGCTAAGATCACTTTCATGTGTTCTCCAGCAAGTTAACATTGTTTAGGCTGTTTCTTTTCCACCTCAATTATGAAGAGGAAACAGGCTTTTTCTCTTAACTCTTTCCCAGGCAAACTGCTCTTACAGTTATCCTTCCTGGATCAGAGAGGTGCCAAGCAGCCTCAAAATTTTTTAAATTCGAATAATGCTCTTACTTTTAGTTTATGGTTTTAAAAAAATTATACATTTATGAATATATTCCTGAGGTTTAAAAAAACACATAGAAGTGAAAAGAAATCATCCCGAACTTCTCACACACCAGGAGTAACTATGGTGTGCATCTTTACACATCCTTTCTCAGGGACATACATGTGTTTACACATCTGTATGTATACAATATTCATGTTTTCTTGTTTAAGGGACTTAAGTTTAAAAATGGAACTAATTCTTTATATAACCATGAAACTCCAACTTTTCCACTTAACAGCAAGTCTCAGGGGCTATATAATAAGCACATTTAGCATATCATACTTGTGGCAAAATATTCCATAATAAAGATGTAAAGGAAATTCATCAATTCTTCAGAAAATTCTTTTTGAGGACATATTAAAGGAGTGTTTTTTTAAAAGATCTAAAAGGCAACTATTCAGAAATAGCTTTATTCTGTATTCTAAAAAAAAAAAAATCCCCAAAACTACTGGGCCTTTTATTTTGAAACACCAAACTAACTTAAAGGGACAGCCAGATGGCCCTTAGTGCTCATCCTGTTATTCTTTCCCAGAAGGGTAGCAACATGAAATAAATATCTATCTAAATATGGTCTGTGACCCACATTTGGATTCATTTTCATGAACTCCACATGTACCTACAACATCAAAGCAGTTCCAAATATTTTGTATTAAATGGGTCCTTAGCAATTCAAACTAATAGTGATATAAGAATGTACATTTACCAGATAAAGTTCAAATAAGAATGTACGAACAGTTTCTTTCCCCTTATTTACATCTCAGTTTTTGACTCCATAGTTAAAAATAACCTAAAACCAAATGTGAGAACAAAATCATTTTAAAGTCAGACCCGGATCACAGGCTGACTTCAATTGTCACTCAACAGAGAAAACTGTATTCAGAATTTATTAAGTTAGTATTTTTTCCTCTTTAGTTCATTCTGGTAAAAAAGAATGCAGTAAATTTTGATAAATTGGACAAAAAGCAAAGTATTTTCTAACAGAGCATTCAGAATTAAAAGAACATTGTGGTCCCTTTGAGCTGTTAAAAAGTTTGTGAAATAACAGCTAGGAGGAACTTACAAAACAAGTTCAATTCCTTTCATTTTAAAGATTTAAGAGTCAGAATCAACTCAAAGTGATACTAAATTTAATTTTAATGGCTCCAAATATCAAAACATTTCATGAATAGTTATGGTGGGTGCTTTATTTACATTCTTTTCTCACTCAATGCTCATTAAATAGTTTATCTGTCAATTGTCACCTCCTTAAAACTTGAGAAAACAAAGCTCAAAGGGTTAACTTGCCCAAGTGAAAGAGCCAAAGCTCTGATTTAGCTGTTTGTCTTTGAATTCTTATCTTCAACCATTCAAGTTTTAAAGTTAGAAGTGTTAATTTTAATATATTCCATAGTTTGACAGTATGTTAAGAGGAAAGAACATGATAAAAAGTACTAAGGATTGCTTGATTCAATCCTTAAGAAGAGTTGTAGGAAGACTCTCCTCTTACTAGTTATTAATATAGCTGAGTTTTTTTAAATGACCATAATGAAACTTGTTTCTAACTTAAACAACCGCATCCAACTTTCCACTGATTTAACCTTCAAAACATGGTTAGTGCCTTAAATACAAGTGATGCATGATGAGCCCCCGAAATGATCATTATCCAGGAGTATACACCACCAAATTCACAAAGGGTCTGTCATTTCAGCTGAAAACAGCCACACAGACAAGATTAGCTAATTACATATGTGACTAAATGTACATATCAGTAACTTGTACTCATCGGAGCTTTAAAATTTTAAATTTATGTTCAGTAAATATTAGTTCACACATCTTTAAACTTTCCAGTATTTAGGGCCGGCTGAGTGGCTCAGTTGGTTAAGAGCTCGCTCAAGAGTTTGAGCTCTGAGCAACAGCGGTTCAAGTCCAGCCCGAGCTGAGGAGCCACTGAGCTACCAACAGGTAGCAGGATGGCTCAGCTAAAAAATAAAAATAAAAATAAAAAATAATAATAATAAAAAAAAAACTTTCCAGTATTTGGCACTACATACATATCGTCTTTTTTTCTTCTTTCTAAAGCATTCTATTGCTTTAGTCTAGTTTCAACTGGCATACTATTTTTTTTAGATGGAATATCAGAAAACCTGTATGCCTAGTAAAACAAGTTATGTATTTGTCCAGTTTTCCACTTTACTAGTCTTTTCAATGCCAGTATCCTCAATACTTTTTTAACTAATCATACTGAAAAATAAAATTTCACAGTTCAAATCACTCAGGTAAAACTGCTATCTGAATACCCAGAGAATGACTCTCAAACCAAAATCATCATCATTATAGTTACATACTAAGGACTTCTGTAGCGGCCTCTGAATCTGCGATCTCGACTTCTTGAGCGGCTCCGTCTCCTTTCTTTGCTTCTACTTCGCTTCCTTTCACGGCTTTTGCTCTTTTTCCTTTCTCTATCTCTGCTTCGCTTCCGTTCCTTACTTTTACTTCTTTTTCGTTCATGACTACGACTTCTGCTCTTGCTTTTTTTCCTCCTGAGAAGGAAAAAAAAAAAAAATCACCATTATCTTTCTGGTTTAAGTATCTGCCAAAATATACTTCCTTTTATGGTCAGAAATTTTATCTTTTTGTATATTTATTTTGCTAGTTTTACTACCATACAATGATACTTAACCATACTTATGGAAAAATAATTCCTAGGTAAGGTAAACCACCCAACCGTTGCCTTCTACTATTGAAATTCAGCAGTCCGTTGACAAAGAATCATTTGAAAGTGGGACTACAATGATCTCCTGAGAGTCAGCTACACTTTTAACAAGGAAAGGACTTGTTGGTAGGTATAATTCACAACTTGAACTTTTAAGTAAAGTTTGACCATCATATAACTGGCAAACAAGTACTACTGTAATCCGTAAGATATAGTAATAAAATTAAAGTTATATAACAGACTATGTTAACATTTAAGTATTACTGCTGGATCATACATCTTTTCATTAAATATACTAATTCTCTTAAGCCAATTTTGACCCAATTTATACATGTAAATATTTTATACTTTCAAAGGGCCATACAAACACCAATATTTTGGTTTTCATGGGCAAAATTATAATGACAAAGGACAGTAAAACTAATGCAGTAAAGTGCATTCTGACACTCCTAGATTTTACTGTGATTACTTCAGTTACTTTGTTTAGTTGTAATGAGTACACCAGAAAATGGGAGTATGCCATTTTTTATGCATTTATACAAGCCTGTGGGGGGCAAACAAAAACAAGAATCAACATCTACATAATAATCTTTATAAAATCTCAAACTCTGAAAGGTAAAAAAGCCAGTCAGTCATATCGTTAATTTCTATATTCTTCACAGTATATTAGCCACTCATTTCATAATAAATCTTACAGTGTGTACCTCTACGTCATCACCCAAATTTTAGAGGTGCCTTCAGATATTTCAATATAAATTGAAAGACATTTCAAATAAACTTATTCCACCAAAATGTCCATCTGTAATGGCTAAAAGATTAAACATTTTGACAACTCTACATCATTTGGAATCTTAATTAACTGTTTAGTCCTTATCAAAGCAAAGTTAGCACAAGAGCAACTGAAGTCTGCCTCAAAGAACCTGTAAGCAGGTCATCTTAGAGTGCATTGAAAATAGAAAATGAAGACACCCACCTTCTGGAATCTTGAAACCCACACTCCAATCACAAGGAGATGTAGAGCTTTCCAAGGAGGCAGAAACTTTTGTCTAAAATTTCAAGATAATCCACCTGACTGTCAGAAATGTATATGCTAAGTAGCACATGACAGAAAATTAGGCTACACTCATTTATATAGAAGTCATCAAAGCAATGCCCAGAAGGGCAACAGGTTAACATTCCAAATTTGTTGCCTGAAATACCTGACACTCTCTCTTAAAGAATTCCGTGTGGTAGCTATAATCAGAAGTCCTAAATATATTCAATTAGGGGACAATGTAAAAAGTAACTCCATCTCCCACAAAAATGACAAAGTTCTGCTCTGCTCATAGATGGTCCAGAGCAGAGAGGAAGCCAACCTCCCTATTTACCTCTTTTTAGGACCAAAACTTATTTCGCCAAAGGAAAGGACTCGAAAATTGGAAAGCTAATTTCAACTTAAGGTCTTCCTACGACTTTTTATAAATGAGTCCCCACCCACATCTGAAGGCAACCCGACAGGCAAAGAAAGCAACATACTAACACATTCCAGAATATACAATCCTCTGCATAAAAGCCCCAAAATTTAAGGGTGCAAGAAATCAGTATATTTCTCTATAATAAATTGCAGCTTCAAAGAACATTTATTTAGTTAACTAAAGAAAGGTTATCAAAATCCATACTAATAGTCAAATCCTGTTACAACTTAAAAGGGACTTTCCAAAGTCTTTAGTGGCAGTGGAATTTGTACTGAACATCATTGAAGTAAATGGTCCACTGGGCTGGGCCTTTGGACTTTTTGGTTATATGGCCTCTGCTGTAAAGGTGTTTTGCTATAACTGGATTTGACCTCTTCCATGTAAGAAGATCTAAATTTTAAATGCAAAGTACTCTGGAAAATAAGAAAAAAAATAGAAAAGTCATTTATTCCAAAATTTATAGATAATCCACACCACAGTAGCCAATATATTTCAACTGTGTCATTTTGTTATCCTTTTTTGAGTAATTCCTGAAGAGCTTAACTAAATGGATGGTTTAGATTTGGCAAAACTGGTTAAACTAACAAACATTCCCAAGAAGGCAAGCCCAGGTACCTAAAAGGCATACTCTGATGTCTTGCCAAACTCAGGGGTATATAGCTCTTTTGAAAGTAGTTTGTGTTATATTATAGTTCCTTTTACTACAAAATACAATTGTTATATATTGAGGATCAAAATTACTTTTTTAAAAGGAAACAATTACTAGTCACTCAATTTCTCTGAATGTGTCCTTTCTTACGACCTTTAAACTACATATATCCCAACACTCAGTGGTTTTTAAGATTAACGAAGTTTTAAGATGAAAAAATGCAACATGGCACCTTTCCTTTGTTTACTACTTAATTTGTATAAATTAAGTAATTTACACAAAAGACTAAAACGCAAAACATTTTACTTATTTTATATCATATCTATCCCTAAACACAAAAACTTTCTAGATAAGATTGAAATTAATTTAAAAGATTAATTCCCTTCAGAAAAATGGGTGAAAGTTCCTGAGTGAACAAGGGAACCCTTTATTCAATCAGCTCTAATTGAGGGTGAGAAGTCTGACAGAGAAATAAATAATTTGTACATTTAAAACGATTCTAGGGCCGGCTGAGTGGCTCAGTTGGTTAAGAGTTCATTCAAGAGTGCAAGCTCTGAGCAACAGGGTCGCAGGTTCGATTCCCGGCCTGAGCTGAACTGCTGCTAAGCTGCCAACAGGTGGCAGGATGGCTCATCTTAAAAAAAAATAAAACAATAAAAAGATTCTAGATAGTAGGTGGAAGTGTTTGAAAAGTCCTTCCCTTAAACAAAGAATCGTATGATCAATTAAAGAAAATTGTCCATTCTATTTAATCCTGTTAAGACTCTGTATTAGGTAAATAAAGGCCACTAAGTACCAGTCATTGAGAGCTTGATGCTAAATTTCCTTGTAAAAGATTGGTAGCCTTAATGAGCTACAGGACAGAAACAAGTATAAACTGGTGTTAGCAAGGAGTGATATCTGAAGATGGCACAAGAGTCTGTGCCCAACAGTGTGTATCCTCACCCTTTTGGCACTTAGGGTGAGATCTTTACTCACCCACTAGGCCTCATACCTAGAATGGATCATTTCAGTCATTTTATATGAATACCTTCCTAGATTTTCTTTGGATTACAGAACTGCAAATTAGAACCATTAATGAGGAAGCAGTTACTTTGGTAAAAGTGTAAAACCAGATGACATTAAACCATGCAATGATTGGCTAATTCCCTCACCCCAACAATTCACGACTAAACCCATAACCTCTTGTCATTAGTGAGGAACTGTAACAGTCCCACCCAAGCTTGTACCAGAAAAAAAATGTAGGATATTTTTACAAATTATGTCATTTTTAATCCATTACTGCTACACTTTCAGGGAATTAACAAGAATAAAAAATGTTAGCATAGCAAAGCCTGAATAATCCAATCTGACAATTTTCTCATCTTTTTATGAAATTATATCTACCTATCTAACAAAGTTGTGAGGATGTTGAGTTAGTGTTATGAAGCACTTCTGCGCTCTTAGGAGGAAGAGCCAGAAGAACCAAGTAAGTAGCTGTTTAACCATCACTTTTCATTATGTATTATGGGGGTCATGAACATGACAAAAATGTTTTAATATGAAATCATAAACCTAATATAATTTAATGCATATAATATGATCACATGATATTGAGAATATTTTGGAGCTGAAAGGAAAACTCCAAAAAGTAATAGGATCCAACCTTGTAAAGTTGATCTGATTCACACTGTTACTTAGATTTTTGTATGCTGGATTCTGTACTAGTCTGTAGCATTGAGCTCCTATTTTGGGTTACTCATTTAACTCAAATAACTTGTATCAATACACATTTTTTAAAAACTCCATTCTCACTATTAAATCAATTAGAGTTTAAAAGCTTAAGACAAAAGCCATATTAGATGAACATCAAAAGTACTTAAGAATCCCATAGCATTATGAAAAAAAGGTCTTTAAGCAGCAAGGAGCTATAATTCACAGCTCTGACTGCTTCAGTGATTTAGAACAAACAATATTTTCCACGGCCTGGTTGTTTATTACTTTTTCTTCTTCCTAACTCATCTTTAGTGGATGTAAGAGTTTAATTGATAAGAACACTAAATATTAAGCCAAAGTTAATAAACTTAAAAGACAAGCTCTTTTGAGACACAAGAACTCGTATCCAGATTGTTATGGATGGACTTGGAAGGGAAGGTTTCCAAAAGGTCCCTGAAACCATGTTGAAATCTAGGGAAAGAGTCCATAGCTTTGTATCCTCAAATAGTTTCTCGTCCCAAAAGGTAAAGAACCACTTTTCTAAAAGAGGCAAGGAAAGCTTCAGAAGAGAACCTTAGTTTGATGCTTTAGCCACAAGAACACAACTTTGACAATAATTATATAATAAACTTAATCACAAAGCTCCCCCCACCCCAGGTCCCTTCTTAAAACTTACTTTTTGCTACGTTCTTCATGGCCATTAGCACTGCTCAACTTGTTCTCATCCTAAGCAGGGTTGATAGAAGAACATCATGAGGGCGAAGTGGTAACATTTCAAGTTGTCAAAGGGTAAAGGGAACAGGAATAAGAAAATACAAAACAATTTTAAAACTAATTACTTATTTATAGTTTAACATGGAAGGCTATAAAAAAATTTAGATGGGCATGTGTTTAACCACTTTGTTGCTTACAATTAAGTCATCAAAATACAAAAATAAAAATGCATATTAACATGTTAAATTATACTTTTTTACATAGTTAGATAGTAAGTTATCCAGATTTACAGTGTTGAAGTGGTTAAATAGAATTTCTTTAAAACATGAATGAAGTCCTGTTTTGAGTTTTAGTCCATGTGCTATGGTCCCTTTGGTCAGTACCATGGTTCTATTTCTGCCTAAGCCCCAAGTGGCCATGCTAGCAGCCAGCCACTATCGATTTCCTGTGACCGATGCCATTCCTGAGATCTTCGCCCATTTCCGTTGGAGGGTTGGGACTGTAAGAGCTTGATGCCACCTCTGTCACACATCTCGCCCTGAAGCAAACAGGGATTCACACTGCTTTAGTAATGTTGACTCCCAAGAACCCAAGAAAGTCAATTAATAATCCACCAGTCCAACCTAAACAATTCCTACTTCCATACCTGTTTACATGGAATTACATCCATGTTTAACTAAGACACAAGAATCTTAACATTAAAATAGAAAGAAGTCTTCAAGAGTCTAAGCATTACAAACTACGTACACTATTTAAAGCTATAAAGAATTCATCCAAATTGGTACCACATGGTCGTGCTACATACTCCAAAACAAATGTATTATTTTTAAAAGGTTTAGCGCAATGTTTATTTTAAAGCTTGATCACATCAGTTATAGGAGCATTAACTGCTAACTTACAAAGCTTACAGTTTGTGACACCAGTGATAATGCATGCATACTGCTATTTTCACCACCAACTGGTGAAAGAATGAAAAGACACTTTACTTTTACTGTGATACTGAAATGGGTCAGACTATATTAGCCAAAATAATTCCTTTGTAGTTTTTAGTGTGAAATATGCCAGGGACTAATTAAAAATAAAACAATATGGAGAACAGTAAAACAGTCATCAAGTGACTTTTAAGTTGTGATACTGCCTCTGTTGTTTAAAATTTTCTGTTCAGGGATCCAAGAATTTTATTAATTTTTAACTGAGCAGATCGTCACCTGCCTGTTTTAATATTTTACTATCACCAGTCTTTCGTGTATATATATATAGAGAGAGAGAGAGAGAGAAAAATTTAAATCTCACCCATTTCTTCTTGTAAGACTTTAAAGATTTGCTTGCCACAGACTGGTTATGCTTTGTTATTCTTGGACCCCTGCTATTTTCCCAAACCACTACATTCACCTTTTTGCTATACCAAACTGGAGCTGGTAATTCTTAGTTGAGTCATTTTACCTAGGGGACCACGGTACAGCGATAAGTCACTCAATTACTACCTTATGATTGACAGTTCACACTGGAATCAAAGGTGAATTCATGGGAGTAGAGGTGAGATATCGTTAGGCAAGTCTACAAAGAGAGATAGATGGGCATTTATTCATCACGCTGAAGTGAAACTACTGCACAATATTATTACATCAATAGCATATATTTACTTTTGTAAGTTATACGTAATGCATCTCTGATAAGATAAATCAAGAGGGCTCCGGGGAGGTTAGTTTACATTTCAGCAGTAGTTTCGTGAATAATGCTAAATTAAGAAATATATAAACCTCACCGACATGTTTTTCTCACCTTCTTGTAAGGAGCCTCAAGCATTGCTTCAATATCAATATCGTCTGCCATTTTCTCTAAACGCCTATAAAAACAATAAGAAAAGTAATTCTATGAGTACATACTTTTCGGTTTTGCTCAATTTCTTTCTTAGCCGAATACTTCGAAACTTCAAAAAAATCCTTCAAAAGCCCTAGAATGGCTAAAATGGCACGACTCTCTTTACCAGGTTTGACAATTAAAGCTGATATGCTTCTAAGACCGAGCACACCAAAATAAAGGTTCGACTTTAAAAAACCTGAAATGAACTCCAAAAACAGAAGCTGTAAGCCTCGAGCAAAAGNAAAATATTTTATTGGGGGATTGGGGGAGGGGTACAGCATTGGGAAATTGGGGAAGGGGAACAGACAAGTTGCTGTCCTTTTGTTCTTCAGTCTAGTTATGGAGGACGTCGCTTCACTGTCCCATGTTGATATTATTGCGTTCTTCCCGGGTGAGGCAATCGGTCGCTGGCCACTGGACGGCTGCTAATGGAGGCTCTTGGCAGCTCACGCTGGCTGGTAGACACTCACGGTAGCTTACAGGGAGCCCACGCTGTCGTCAGCAACTCATGGCAGCCCAGCTCCAGGTCGAGCTGTTGTTCATCATCTTAGCTGTAGAGGGCGCAGTGTCACTGGCCCTAATGTGGGATCCAAACCGGGGCCCTGCTGCACAGAGCTGGTGCTCCCAAGCCAACTCTTAACCAACGCGCCACTCGGCCGGTCCTTTTCGTATCTTAAGGATATTTTCCCCTATGTCAAGATCATCAACAAAATTTCCAATATATCTCTTTTAAAGACACATAATGATTACAATGCCATGTGTGACATACATAGCTGTGCCATGGGTTATACATGTGCCTTGCTGGAAAAATGGAGCATTACTCATTTCTCTCCCTATCAGGAATTCAAGTAAGTGAGAACAACATAATGAGAATAATCTTGAAACCACTTCTATTTCTTAAACTATAAATAAATGGCTGGATTTTAATTGTCACAAGTAACATTACTTGCGATACATTTTGCAACTGTGGAGTTACATCTTTGGGGAATCTATAGAGGACACTTATAATTTCTAACAAAATTGTAAGTGCATGTTCCCTTGTGGCTCACATCTCCCCTTTCTAGAAATTGAGACTACAGTTCTATCTGCACATGTCTGCACATATGTGCTGTACTATTTGTAAATGGAGCTTTTTTTTTTATTGCAAAAGATTGGAAAAAATCCAAATGTCATTCAATAGGGAACTGATTAAACCAGTTATAGTACATCCACACAAGGAACACTATGCCGCAGTAAACTATAACAAGATAATGAGGAAGTTATTTTTATACCATTGTACAAAATGTATTATATGGTGTCCAAAATGTATTGTTTAGTGAAAAAAGTAAGGTGGAGAACTACATATATAAATGCTTCCTTTTTGGAAAAGGGTCAAAATATATTTAAACTTGTGTTCAAATTTCCTTGTATATGCAAAAAGATAGCCTTATCTAGGGGTAGATNCTGCAGCCCTCGCCGTCACCGCCCCACGGCAGCCCAGTTCCAGGTCGAACTGTTGTTCAACATCTTAGCGGTAGAGGGCAGTATCACTGGCCCTCATATGTGGGATCCAAACAGGGGCCCTCTGGCATCCCAAGCCAGTTCTTAACCAACACGCCACTCGGCCGGACCTCTTCAAAACTTCTTGCGTGGTATAACATTCAATTCAGATGAGGCTGTAAATCAGCACCTTGTTCAGTTTTTTGCTAATTAAGACAGGTCCTTCTATGAACGAAGAATTATGAAGCTCACTGAAAGATGTCAAAAGGTTATCGCACAAAATGGGCACTATATCGTTGATTGATCTTTGTTCTTTATATAAATAAATTACCTTTGAAAAACATAGACAAAATACGTTATGACTTTTCCGACAACCCAACATGTGGCAGCCACGAAACTAGGCCCTGGGAAAGCAAACAATAGAGTATAAAAACAGTCATGGCAGGGCTGGCCGAGTGGCTCAGTTGGTTAAGAGTACGAGCTCTGAGCAACAGGCTTGCCGGTTCAATTCCCATATGGGACAGGTGGCAGGATGGCTCAGCTGGTGAAAGCGTGTGCCCCCTAATAACAAGGTTGCTGGTTGGACTCCTGCATGGGATGGCGGGCTGTGCCCACCCACAACTATGAATGAACATGGCACCTTGAGCTGAGTGGCGGTGAGCTGCAGACGACAGGTGGCTGGATGGACACTGGACTTGGAGCTGAGCTAGCTGCGCCCTCCACAAGTAAGATTGAAGGACAACAACTTGGCTGTTCCCCTTCCCCAATTCCCCAATAAAATCTTTAAAAAACACCACAACAAAAACAGTCATGGCCCTTGCCCTCCTGGAGCTTACAATCTATTTGGAGGAGACAGGTATTAATCAAAAAACCGTATCAATAAATGAAAATGTACAATGTTGACAAATGCCACAAGAGATGTTAGTGGTGTTATGAAAGCATATAAAAGGGAGATTTGATGTGAGGAAGAGTATTTAACAGGTGAAGAACATCCCAGCCAAAGAATATTCAAAAGGCCTAGGAACAGGAGGAAGCATGGTGTCTTTAAGGACCTGCCAGAAGGCAACGTGGCTAGAGTAAAGAAGCTTATGAAGAGCCAGACCGTGCAGAGCCTTTAAACCAGGTAAGGTGAGTCAGTTATTAGGTATTTTCTCAGTTCCAAATCCACCCTTGTACTTTATGATTTTGAAGCTGGGACTCTGCAAACAGCATTTCTCCTTTGCACACTAGCTCTGTTAAGCTCTCCCAACAGAGACTACTAGAGGGATACTGCAAGGATGGAGGAGGAAAGATAGAAGCCTCTTTCCTCTTTGCTTCCTGTTCCTATCGCTGGTATCCCAGCAAATCATAATTCTGGCAGTGGCAGTTTCTTCCCATTACAGCAGCTCAGTCAGTTTGCAGTTTCCCAACACTTACAGAACCCTTCTCATTACCCCTTCAGAGACACCAGCGCCAAACTTCCCAGTACCCCTACTCACCCCAGTCCCAAACCCATGGGGCCCTTCCTCTGAGTTCAGAGACCCAAGCATCTGCCAAGTAACACCTCCTTTTCAGAAGTCTGAATTTCAGCTCTGTTTGCCCCTCCTCTAAGTTTCTGTGTTTTAATAATTTCAACCTGGGCCGGCCGAGTGGCNGAACACTTTTCAGTTTAATCAGTGAAATGTGCCATTTACTGATTCATTCAATAAGTCTTCAGAATTTTTAGCATTCTGCAGGACAATTTGTGGGTACAAAATAAATAAAAAGCACAGCCTTTTTCCTTCAGGAGTTTCCAGTTTAGTTAGAGAACACCTGAAGGAATAAAAGCCATGTTCAAAATAGTATTTTGTATTGTATTAAGATTTTGCATGAACTCCATGCCTTGAACATTATAGTATTAATAACAGCATATAGCACTTCACAGTTTACAAACCATTTTGTTTAACCTTATCCGATTTTTTTCTATAAATCTATATTCATTTACTTGAATGAAATAAATTGATGTGATCAGACTATGAAGAAAGTGGTCACAGAATATTCGTTTGGAAGCAGCTGATTGATATGTCATCAGAGCAGTTAAGGAGCATTTTTTCAACATTTTATTATAAAAATTATCAAACAGAGAGTTGAGAGAATAATACATATACCTACCACCTAGTTCATATTTAACATTTTACAATATTTGATTTATCACATATCTATGTTGCCTACCCATGCATGACGTTTAATTTTTTAATGCTTTTCAAAGTAAGTTATGGACACTAGTACACTTAATCTCTAAACACTTCATTGTATATTCTTAGAGTTGAAATTCTTTTATGAGGCAAATTTTATGTATAATGAAATGCACAATTGTTAATTGTACCCATTGATGTGTTTTGACAAATGCATACAAATTGGGTAATATTAATTTTATTTAAAGTTAAAGCACGGCAGAAGCTGGCCTAGAGGGGGCTAATGAAAGCAACATATTTTATTCCAAAATATCCTGATTTGACAACCAGAGAAATGAATAAAACATTGCAAATTAGGAGGCAGAGTATTGTTTAAAAACATCTGGTAACGGAAGCAAAAAGAAACGCAATCAAGCATAACATTGCAAAAGATTTGGGATTTAAGCAAATCTTGCCATAGAGAGAAAGATCCTGCTGACAAGGCATTACAAGATTAAGACATACCTTGAAAATGATGGTTGAAAAACAAAAGGAGCATCAACCTACAGTGATTTTGAATGTAAAGTATGTGATTCATGACATGAGTGAATGACCCTGTACAATGAATAGCCCAGAAAGACAGGATCTCTGAAAGGATATAGCTAATAGACATAGTCTTTTTTGGAGCTGGGGAAAAAAAAAAAAAGGTCTTTAACAATCATTTTCTGGAGAAGAGACCCAAAGAGATATGACTTGTGCAAACATATCTAAATAACCAAGTCCTACGTCAATATATAAATGAAGCATCAGAGTTGGAATTAGAATATGTGCAGCATGAACATGATTTGTATGCAGTGGTGTAAAATAAACGAGATGTTGGCAAGAATGTGGAGAAAGTGGAAGCCTCAGACATTGCTATTGAATATAAAATGGTGCAACTGCTTTGCAAACAGTTTGGCAGTTCCTCAAAAAGTTAAATATAGAATTACCACATGACCCAGCAATTCCATTCCTAGGTATAGACAAAAGAATTGCAAATATGTTTCTAATACTTGTACATGAATATTCATAGCAGCACTATTCAAAATAGCAAAAAATGGACACTACCCAAATACCTATCAATCGATGAATGAGGAAACTAAATGTGGTAAATCCATACAATGGATATGATCAGCCATAAAAAGGAAGGAAGTACTGATACATGCTACAAAGTAGATGAACTTTGAAAACATTATGCTAAATAAAAACCACAGACACAAAAGGTTGTATATTGTATAATTCTATTTTGTTTAAGTTTTTTTTTTAATAAAAAATTTTTTTTTTTTTAGTTTGGGAACAGTGTGTTTTTCCAGGACCCACCAGCTCCAAGTCA